AATGGAGTGACAAAGCACTATAGTATCAGTATTTCGTGTGCTGTGTTAATAGTTTTAAGTTCATGCATTAAAACATGCCGGCACTGGAGGAATCCATTGAGTATCTCAGTTGTCTTCCCATGGGTTGTCTTCCCATGGGTTGTCTTGTGTTCATGTCTCTCATTGGGACAATGTTATCCAAACCAAGCGACTGTCTCCTCAACTGACTCTGGGACTGTCTCTTAAGCTGAGTCCCCATTTGTTTCTTCTTCTGTTTCGCGGCCTTCTTCATTGCCTTCTCTTTCTCTTTTCTCATCTTTGCCATTATTTTCTCTTTTTCTTTTCTTCTCTTCTCGTCTGCTTTCATTTTCTCTTTGAGCATTTTCGTGCGTTTCTTTTGAATGTGAGCAGGTGGGACACGAGAATAGATCTGCTTTTGATCATCCTCAGTCTCTTCTTCTTCCTCTTCTTCTTCTTCTTCAGATTCCTCCTCCTCATCTGACTCTTCAACCACCTCTAATTGTTTACGTCTTTTCACTGGTGCCTCCTGCTGACTTCTCTTTGCATGTTTAGGCTGGATGGTAACAGGCTACAAAACAAGATGACACAATGATACTATCTATAACACATTTGTGCACATAACGTATGATAATATTTACGCAGATTTTTGACTCTGTTGTTCACAGAATTTCTTACCTTTTCAACTGGTAAATCGTCATCATCATCATCATCATCATCATCTTGTTGCTGTTTTCTCTTCTGGGCTGGATGCTTTGGTTTGATAACCACAGGCTGTATGAGAAAATAAATTATATACCAGTAATCATATTATTTTATACTTTAATTTCTTCATCACTTTCTTCTTCCTCTTGTGCTGCTTGCTTCCCGTGCTTTGGTTTTATTACAACAGGCTTGTGTAGCAAAAAAATAAAATTAAAAATAAGTTTAGTATCACGTTACCTTCAGCTCTTCGTCGCTCTCCTCATCATCTTGTGCTGCTCCTTTACCATGCTTTGGCTTTATCACAACAGGCTATAAGTACATTAAATTGCAATTATAGTTCCATTATTATTATTATTATTATTATTATTATTATTATTATTATTATTATTATTATTATTATTATTACCTTCAGCTCTTCATCACTTTCCTCCTCTTCTTGTTTTGCTTGTTTTCCATGCTTTGGTTTTATTACAACAGGCTAAGCAAACATAATCAATTATGTAAATCTTTATTAAAATACCTACCTTTATCTCTTCGTCGTCACTCTCTTCTTCTCCTTCCTTCCCATGCTTTGGCTTAATGACAATTGGCTATACACATAAAAATGCATATAAGCATGTACATGCTCCTATTTGTTTTCCATTCACTTTATCTCCTTACCATTTCAACTAGTGACTCCTCATCTTCCTCAACAATATTATCATCATATATAGAACTGGCTACCGACTCTTTCTTCTTCTTTGGTTTGGGGTCAGCTGGTCTCTCGTATATTTCTGACTGGCTGTCTCTCGGTGCAAACCCTTCCCGGCCTTGCTTGGGTTTCTTAGGACGTCTGGTCTGTGTTACTTCATCTGGATCATCATATGGATCAAACCTTATTTTAAAAGGAGTAAAATAGTATTTTTAATTTTTATACTCACTCGCTAGATAGAACTGATTCCCTTTTGTTCTTGACAGAGACAACTTTCGCTCCAGATTTTTTCTTCTTTGCAACATCTCCTGGCTGTATGACCTGGGAATAAAGGAAGAACAAAGAAGTGCATTATTTAAAAACTACTCGTGCAGCAAAAAAAATTATGTGCTTGTGTATAATGTGCTTGTGTATTAGGTGATTGCCTACTCTTGGATTGGAGGGCACAGTGGAGCCATCAGCTCGTCTTAAGCTAAACTTTCCTTTTGAGGAACCATCAACTTTAGGAGGAATATCAGGCACTGGATTACTAACACTACAGACAGAGCAAGAGAAGAGAATGAAGATTTAAACTAAAATGGCTTACTCTGCTTTAGATTTCTTTCCACCCTTTTTCTTCTTCTTGCCGTAAGCAGCTTCTCCTTTCTTTGGAGAGTAAAGCCTTGCTTTCTTTATTTTTATATAACACTTCCGAAGTAAGAAAATAAGTAGAACCCCAAGGGCAACAAGTGCTATGACAACGACAGGTATTGTGATGGAGAGAACAAGAACCAATGGAAATGCTGCAAGAAAATTAAAAATAAAAAAGTAAAAATAATCTTTAATTCTTACCTCTCATAGTTTCTAGTCTCACTACAGTGCTGTTTGGCCCTCCTCCAACTGCTGTGTGTGCTTGCATTTTTACATCATAAGATGTGCCTCCTTTAAGGTCACTAATAGTGGCACTGAATGGTTCATCGTCCTCAGAGTGAGTGGGAGGTACAATGTAAGTGATTGAAGTGT